TCTCATTTACTGGAGACAGACACATAGTAGTAGTCAAACTACTATATTCCTATGGCGGGCGGCTTCGGCAATAGCAACATAAATTGTGGGTTTTACCCACGGTTTTTTTTACAGGTTGACAAGTATAAGTGATTCAAGTTTTGTGTCCCAATGCGAACATATTTCAGATAAGACAAAACGATCTTGTAAAAAATTTGCAATATATATTCCGATAACAATTTTGTATGTTCTTCATTTAGGTACATTAATACATTTGAATATTTTGCTATATCCATCAGTACAAACATGTAGTTATATTGATTCAATATAATGCATTTCGGTCAATATATTGCATTTCGTTACGTACACTTTGGTACACACATTTTGAGTATTGACTTTTAGGTACATTAATTCAATTATTATATTTCGGTAAATACATTTAGGTACATACATTTTGGTATTGATATTTAGGTACATACATTTTTGGTATTGACATTTAGGTACATACATTTTGGTATATACATTTCAGTACGTACATTTTGGTACATACATTTCAGTATTGACATTTAGATCATTAATTCAATATAATACATTTCGGTACATACATTTAGGTTCATTATAATATATTTCGGTACAACCATGTAGGGGCAAATATTTCGGTACAAAAAAGTCAATTTTATATATTTTGGCACAATTATTTTTGTACACTTATGTATTTATATATTTTTGTATCACAAATTTTATTTAATATTTTCTCATTTAAATTCATTTCTAATTAAAAAAAACCTAAATATGTGCATATTAATAAAATTAAAATTTAATATGGAGAGATTAAATAAAAATACACATTAAATGACACACCCCGATCCTAGAATCAAGGCGTGCTGGCCGTCACGTAAGCGTGACGTAACCAAAAGTGCGATGCGGAAGCAAAAGATAAAGGAAATACGAAGGAATAAAAACCAACTACTAGCAGTAATATCCAACTAACATGCTAGAGTGAGTTTAAGTGTGAAACACACAAATTCAGAGCATAAGTACTAGGTGCAATCAAGTAGGACTATAACTAAATTACAACACCCGCACGTGAGTCCTACATTCAAGGAGTCTGTCAGTCTGTCAGAACGCCGTAGAAGTCCTCGTCAACCACTAACTGCTAACTAGGACCTGGAGGGGCGCAAAACAAAATTGAGTGGGTCAGTAAAACAAAGCTTTTCGAAAACATTTCAATTTAACAACATTTCTAACCCCTCGCTGTAAAACCTGTATACTTTCCCAGAAAATAACATAATATACATATAAATCTTCATATATCTCAAATCGCAAATCTTTACCAAAAACCAGAAAGTATGCCATGCCATAAACGTCAATCAGAATAAGGATGCATCAATATAACAGGTGAAATAAGGAATCAACCGGAGACCCTGCAGTTGGTCCTGTACGGTTAATTCTATAGCTCAATATCCAATCCAACCAGAGTCACCACAGTGACCTGTACGGCATTACTCTGCACATAAATTGGAACCACCTAAAATAGTATGTACGATAAGAATGGTGTAAAAATACGCTCTAGTGCTTCTCTCATCAACAATTGTATAATAATCTAAAGTCACCTACGAGTCGGAACCACCTCTCATGGTCTGTACGATATGTCGGAACCCTCTAATGGTCTGTACGACATGCACCTACTTGGATCCAAGGTGAGCGTGTGGTGCGGGGTGAATAATATAAGCACTAACACCAGGGGTGCATGTTTGAGCTTTCAATACAATTCCTATCACAATAAATCACATGATTAATATAGAACTCACCTGATACTCACCTGTGCGTCCACAACACAATTTCACATATATATATGCATCAATTATTAATTCATATAATGTATGCATAGCATTTAAAAAAACAAACTTTCATTTAAATTCAATTTTCTGGGAAAAATCAATAGTATATAGGTAAATACAGAAAATACTGCCCACTCACTGATAAGTCGAAGGGTCGTAACCCCCGTGACGTCGTTGAACGTGCTCGTCCTCAGGATAGGTCTCACCTATATGCGAAACAATTATAAAAACGTTATTTAAATCACATAGGCAATAATACGTAATAACTTCTCATACGATGCTCAATTTGGGTATATGAATATACCACAGTGACCTACTCGACGTCACGGACGTCGAGGTATTTTTAGAAAAACATTTGGACTAGCCACGCGCCCCCACACGTCTGGATAGCCACGCGCCCCTACCTCCAGTCGCCGGAAAAACTCGCCGGTGCCGGAAACTGGGCAGGCCTGTAATCGCCATTTTCTCGCTCGATTCTCAACCATTTTCCATGAACTTTTCACCAAAACTTCACAAATTATGAGAGGAAGAAGGCTATACCTTTAAAAACTTCCAAATCCTTCGAAATCACGTCAGGAAATTTCACCAAAACCGGTCACCTTCGAACCTTGTGATCCCGACATTCAAAACCTTCAAACGAACGTCCCTGAGCTTCGTGGGAACCTCCTAAAGCTCAATGTGAGCTTGGATTGTCCTAAAAACCAACCATTACAAAGTTCATGAGCAGTACTCAAATCGGACCTCGAGGTTTCAACGTGAAATCGAAAGGTTTCTTACCTGAAATGGGTATGGATGTGTTCGTAGGGTCCTCACGAGTACAATGGTGTCCTTGAAAACTTCGAACCGTGTTTGGATGATCGTGGGTGAATGTGTCCGTACGGTTTCGAGAGGAAGAGAGAGAGAGAAAAGCTGAGAGAGAGAAAAGAGAGAGGGTACGGGGAAGGAAATAGTGTATATGTCCCGTGTGTGTGTGATCCATCCAAACCAAACCACAATCCAACTTTCTTTAAGTCTCTAGATCACTTTAGGTCTAAACTTTAGTGAAATCACCCCAAAAAAAAACCAACTTAATTAAGTCACACACACACACACACAACCCCACTTGACGACCAAGGGTAATTTCGTAACTTCAAGTCCTCGGAAATGAAATTCCGGGACGGGCTGTGACAATCTACCATCTTTATAGAATTTCGTCCTCGAAATTCATACAACCAATGAAACCACTAACACTCATAAAATAACCTTGGATACATCTCTCTCTCATTCGATATTCTGTCTCCCAAGTAGCTTCTTCCACTGAGTGGTTCCTCTGCATTACTTTTACCAGGCTCACTGTCTTATTCCTTAGAACTTTATCTTTCCAATTCAAGATAGTCACTGGTTCCTCATCATACGTCAAATCTGGATTAATCTCCAAAGGTTGAGAAGGAATCACATGTGAAGGATCTGAAACATAATGTCGAAGCATCGAGACATGAAACACATTATGTATCTTAGATAACTCCGGAGGTAACTCCAATCTGTAAGCAACTTCACCAATCCTTTTAGTGATCTCATAAGGTCATATGTACCTAGGACTTAGCTTGCATTTCTTTCCAAATCGCACTACACATCTCCAAGGTGACAATTTCAAGAATACCAAATTACCCACATCATATACTCGATCAGTAGCATGTCTATTTGCTAAACTCTTTTGTCGATCCTGGGCCGCTTTCAGGTTAGACTTAATCACCTGAACATTTTGAGTAGTTTCATCCACAATCTCTGGACCCTCTAGCACTCTTTCGCCAACCTCTGACCAACACAATGGCGTACGACAAGCTCTACCATAAAGTGCCTCAAATGGTGACATACCAATGCTCGAATGAAAACTATTATTGTAGGCAAATTCCATCAAGTCTAGGCGATCATGCCAAGAATCCCCAAACTACAACACTGAAGATCTCAACATATCCTCTAACGTCTGAATAGTCCTATCTGATTGTCCATCTGTTTGAGGATGATAAGCAGTGCTATATAGCAGTTTCGTACCAAAAAGCTTCTTGAAAAGCTATCCAAAACTTAGAAGTAAATCTTGGATCTCGATCAGAAATAATACTCACTGGAACTCCATGATACTTCACAATCTTCGTGATGATGAACAACTTAGCTAATTTATTCAGAGGATACTTGTCCCTCACTGGAATGAAGTGTGCTGACTTGGTAAGCCGATCTACAATCACCCAAACGCCATCAAATCCATTATGTGTACGTGGAAGCTTATATACAAAATCCATAGTTATATTTTCCCATTTCCACTGAGGAACGGGAAGTGGTTGCATCCGTCCAAAAGGGTTCTTTCTTTCAGCTTTGACTTGCTGACAAACAATACACCCACTTACATATTCTGCAATTTGCCTTTTCATACCCGGCCAATAATAAAATGGTTGAATGGTATGGTACATCTTAGTCCCTCCTGGATGCATCGCATAAGCTGAACAATGTGCTTCATCCAGAATTTCCTTCTTTAATTCCTCATTACTCGGTACATACATTCTGTTCTCCTGCATAAGCATGCCATCTGATTCTCGAATCCTGAGGTCTTTCTTTTTCCCTTCATTTCTCAATCGAATCATTTCTTGAATCTCTTCATCAACCATCTGAGCTTCAAATACACGATCAACCAAAACTGGCCTGACTTGGAAACTAGCAAGAAAAGCTTCTCTTTATTCTTTGATCTCCAACTTTACTCCAGTAGCTCTCAAGTCTGCAAGAAGAGGAACACGGCAAGCATACAAAGCATTAAGTCGACCTTGAGGTTTCCTACTCAATGCATCAACTACCACATTTGCACGACCCGGATGATACTCAATAGTGCAGTCATAATCACTTAGTAATTCCATCCACCTTCGCTGACGAAGATTAAGATCAGGCTGAGTAAAAAGATACTGAAGACTCTTATGATCTGTGAAGATCTTACACTTCTCACCATAGAGATAATGCCTCCAAATCTTCAAAGCAAAAACAATGGCTGCCAACTCAAGATCGTGAGTAGGATAATTCCTTTCATGAATCTTCAACTGTTGAGAAGCATAGGCGATTACTCTATTATGCTGCATCAAGACACATCCTAAACCATTCAAGGAAGCATCACTATAAATCTCAAAGTTACCACTATCGTCAGGAAGTACCAATACTGGAGTATGAGTGAATTGTTCTTATTTTATGCTTAGATCTTTCGGGTTACAGCAACGCTCCTTGCGGCTTCGCGTTTCCTGCGCTGTATGTGTTTCTGTTTGAATTGTTCTTATTTTATGCTTAGATCTTTACACATTGTATTCTTTATGGACAATAATTTGGTGTGTTTCGTCGTAAGCGCGTCAAAAGTTTCAGTCTTCAAGTTCAAGGTTTAGTTTATGTGCACAATTCAATCCGAGCTTTATACTTGCAACGCAACAGAGTAAAACTTGGTTTTGAAGTGAAACGTGAACATTCTTTTGTGGCCAGGGACCCGTAGGCATGTACATTTTTATGACCGATAGTGAGAAAGCCGACCTTTTATTTGAAAAACGTAATAAGTTGACAATCATGGTGTTGTTGTGAGTTGTAGTAATGCTAACTGTTTGCCATTGAGCAGGCCAAACCAGAAACAATGGCGAAGGTGTCTAAGATAGTAAGGAAGCAACTTGCATTGCCAGATGACTCTGCTGTTACTGGCGAGTCAAAGTTTTCTGAACTTGGAGCTGATTCTGTTTGGATCAAAACTTGAACTTTGGGCTCAAGAAAGGAGCTGGCCCAAAAGGAGGCCCGAAGGGAAAGTCAGCCGAAGCCCAGTCAAAGCCCAGAAAGCAGAAGGGGCCTTTTCTGACTTGGTGCAGCTCATGAGGACCACTTGCTTACCTATCCAAAGGCCAAGTGGTATAGACTGACCAGCTACACAGCCCATAAAGTACTTTATGGTGGCAGTACATGTAAAATAGCTGATGAGTCATCACTTTTCAAACCGCATTCGGGCAAGGTTGCTGCTACAGGAGATCAAGTCGAGTTGTCTATATAAGAAGAAAGAGAAACCAGGAATAAGGACACTCAATCAAACAAACAAATGCAAGCACAAACTCAGCTCAAAGCCAGATTTGCCTTCAAAATGAAGCTGTAGTCAGCCGAAGCCTTCATCCCTCTCGGGGACAAGCCTTCATCCCTCGCAGGATAAAACCTTCACTCAAGCCCTTGTAATAGCTCTGCTACCTTGTTCAACCTTGTTGTAGTATCGATTCATCTTTTGTAAATCTCTCTCTCTAAGGCTTTCAGACCCTTGATAAACTACAAAGATAGGAACCTGCAAGACCATCAGCCTTACCCGACAAGGTTAAACCTTGCCCGACCTTCTTTGTTTTTGTCTTTTCATTCATTAGCCTAGCAATATGTTGTATACTTCCAGTTATATTCAAGTTATTTCTAGCAAGATGACTATTAAAAGGCTGTCTCAGTACTCGGATCCGATTTGAATATATCTTCAGTGTTCAAACCAGATCCAAGTCCTAAGCCCTCGGGCATGTAAATCTGATTAGTTAAAAGTCCTTGGCCTCAAGGCATAAAAAAAAACCTTATGTGGACTTAACCCATCCATAACAATCCTTGATAAACGAGAAGTCCGAAGTTACTTGGGGTGCAAGTAATCGACCTACCTCTTAGTCTTATTTCTATTACATTATGATTATCATAGAACGCTTAAGAATGGGAAGGATTCTGATAGGAAGCCTCAAGGCCTACACCTAAGGCCCTATGAAGGCACCTATTTGGATTCATTCCGTTCTGCGGTCTAGAACGTTTGAGTATAAGAACGAACTCTAATGGGAAGCCTCAAGGCCTACATCTAAGGCCCTACAAAGGCACCTATTTGGGTTCATTCTACCTCTCGGACTCGGGTAATCAGAAGTATAATAGTTATAAGACTCATGCATTCACGAGAACAAATATGATGTGTTCGAGCACTGGTTTAGTTATTGATAGGAAGCCTCAAGGCCTACACCTAAGGCCCCACAAAGGCACTTGTCATAACTAACACGGTTTCTTGGGTATATACATATATACAACCAAAACTCGACATCCATTTCACATCTACCATACTGAAGATGGCAGTGGCACACCTGAGCACCTAAAAGTTAACCTTGATTGTGAGCCTCAAGGCCTACACCTAAGGCCCCACAAAGGCACCTCTCAAAGTTAACTCTGTCATTCTCTTTCAGCCTTGCCCGACGAGCCTTGCCCGACAAGACTTGCCCGATAAGACTTGCCCGACGAGACTTGCCCGACAAGACTTGCCCGACGAGATTTACCCGACAAAGCCCGACAGTGAAGCAGAAGCCCGACAGTAGCCCTCAACCGGCGCCAACCTCCCGGGGAGCTGTGTGCTCGTCGGCCAGGAAACATCCCCGACGGAAATTCCTGACGCGAACAGATCCTCTCGATACGGTACATTCTATAATTGTTAATATGCTAACATGCTACTTGACACATTGTTTTCCCTGAATCTTGTCTTCCTATAAGCATGGTTTTGCTCTGTTTGTAAACTAGAGTTTAGTCGTTGATGTTATTTTTTTCCCGGTTGTTATTCATCTGCAAACTTGTTACATAAAATGGATCTCTCTTCAACCGGAGTCGTTCTATCCTGTTCTTGTAGCAAAAGTTGTCCTCTTTATAATTTCGATGATTTATTCTTAAGCAGTGAAGAATTAAGAGACTATCGGGATATTTTATTGGAGTCAACCTTTAAATCTCTCTTGTTTGTATATCCATCCTGTAGTTAAGTACATTTTAATGTATTCTACTTCCAGTTTATTTTGATGTAAATCTACATCCAGGTTGAGATTGTGATGGGATTTGAGGAGGAATTCGGTATAAGTGTGGAAGAGGACAGCGCTCAGACCATTGCAACCGTGCAGGATGCGGCGGATCTTATTGAGAAGCTCGTTGAGAAAAATAAGGCTTAGAAGCGATGGAAACAGAGTCGAGTAGTGTTTTCATTTCTTAGCCTGCTTTAGAGACAAGTACTTGGTAGACTGGTTATGTACTCGGTCGTTTTGTGTTAATCCGAACCTTGTAGTTTCGTGGTTTTGTTAAAAAGTTATGAAGATTTTGAGTTTGTGTTATGTTTTCGATCCCTATTTTTTTGCTCGAGACGTATTCTGTGACATAACGATGGCAAATCTGCAACAACTGAATTTTGATAATTTGAAAACGCTTTTTAGTTATTTCAAAAGCATTACTTTCCATTAATCATGTCATTGCATGATTTGAAACAAAAGAGTTGAGGTTCATTTTCTTTTCATTGGTATGCTATGCAACCAAATCTCAAGGGAAAATTTTATACGACGGCAATAATGCCAACAATGTTTTATGGCACAGAATGCTGGGCAGCCAAGCATCAACACTTGCAGAAAATGAGGGTAGTAGAGATTAGAATGCTTCGTTGGATGTGTGGGCACACGAAAAAAAACATGATTAAGAACAAGGAGATCCAAGGTAAAGTATGAGTAGCTGCAATTAAAAATAAAATGAGAGAAAATCGGTTAAGGTGATTTGGACATATGAACCGAAATTCTACAGATACTCCGGTTAGAAAATACGATTACGAGATGGAGGCTCAGGGCATAAGGGTAGGAAGATCTAAAAAGATTTGGAAAGAGACTTGAGAAAAGACATGAAGTACTTAGAGCTAACAGAAGACTTAGTACAAAACCGAGCACAACGACGTACTAAAATTCACACAGTTAACTCTACTAAGTGAGAAATAAGGCTTTGTTGTTGTTGGTAAGCTATGAAGCCATGCTTGACAAAGTTGATAATTTCAAACTTGAAATCAATTTCTCAAAAACAGATTGACTTCTATATGGGTTTTCAGTAGGCGAAGAATAGCTTGAGCCTCAAGATTGCGCGTCAATCATAGCGGTGGAATATGTCTGCCTCAGCTTCAACCCTAACCCTTGGAAGTTCTTTTGAAAACTATTTTTTTATTTTTTTTTGGAAACTAACCCTTGGAAGTTTGAAACAACATTGCGGATGTCTGGATGGTAAGGAGTCGGAGTGTTAAATGTCAAAATTCCCTTTTTTTTAGTTAAAATGGTTATTGAGATTGACAAAATTCCTCACTTTGGACACTGATATTGAAAAAAGATAGAAATGGTTTCTGAGTTTGTCGTCATTTCGTGAAAAATCTGTCAATATACTCGTTAACTGGAGGAGTTCAGTTTGACAAAAAAGAAGAAAGAATGTGTTCGTATTCTCATTTAGACGTATACATACAATCATATACAATGGCTATCATAATAAAGAAAGAATAATTACAATTGATTACAAGGGATACGCCCTAAACTAAGCCCAAGATTATAGGAATCCTAATACAAGTCAACAAGAAATACCTTTAAAAAGTGGTCACGTGGCCGCTCACATGATAATTTAATGAGAATATTGACAAATTTTTGGGAGAAAGACCAAAATAATTGGCGGTGGACAAACTCAGAGAATCCTTCTATTAATTTGTATTGTATGTGATCAATAGTTATGCCGTCCATTTTGGCTAAAACAGCCTACAAAATTTTATATTAAAAAACCCATTCAAATTTGGAGATTAGACAAGCCACTGAATAAAAAAGAAAAATTAATTCAAAGTTTTTTGTTTATTTTGTTTTCTTTCCATGTTATCGTACAAAAAACTGCCTAAAACATTTTACAACAATAATTTAATCACAAACTTTACAATAATAATTTTGTCACCGAAAAAATTCAAAGAACCGACGGATCAATTTTTCGAGAGGTTTGGTAAGCCTGATTACGACAGGGTGCCGAGCCCATTTGCAGGCAAGTCCGACCAAAAAAGGCAAAACGATTGTGAACACGTAGATAAAGATCGTCATGTAAGAAGAAGATGGTGGTGCAATGCGGATAATTGCAGTGCTGTTGGTGAAGTATACCGCTGAGGTGCAGATTTGAAGCTCCAACTGCAGAGGGAAATTGGTTCATGATGTGTGACATTCCGAACCATTATCAGACCTCAAGGTTAGGGCTTCTACCCTAACCCTTGGAAGTTTGAAACAACATTGTGGATGTCTGAATGGTAAGGAGTCGGAGTGTTAAGTGTCAAAATTCTTTTTTTTTAAGCTAAAATGGTTCTTGAGATTGACCCAATTCTTTACTTTGGACACTGACATTGAAAAAAGATAGAAATAGTCTTTGGGTTGCAGTGTTGTTGGATTCCATGAATGCTCAAATATTGTGTCATGACGTGTGACATTCCGAACCATTATCAGGCCTCAAGGTTAGGGCTTCTACCCTAACCCTTGGAAGTTTGAAACAACATTGTGGATTCTGAATGGTAAGGAGTCGGAGTGTTAAGTGTCAAAATTTCTTTTTTAGCTAAAATAGTTCTTGAGATTGACACAATTCTTCACTTTAGACACTGACATTGAAAAAAGATAGAAATGGTCTCTGAGTTTGTCGTCCTTTCGTGAAAAATCTGTCAATATACTTGTTAACTGGAGGAGTTCGGTTTGACAGAAAAGAAGAAAGAATGCTTTCCAATGTGTTTGTAATCTTCTTATTTAGAGATATACATACAATCATATACAATGGCTATCATAATAAGAAAAGAATAATTACAATTGATTACAAGGGATACGCCCTAAACTAAGCCCAAGATTATAGGAATCCTAATACAAGTCAACAAAAAAATACCTTAAAAAGGGGGTCACGTGGTCGCTCACATGACAATTTAACGAGGATATTAACATATTTTTTAGGGAAAGACTAAAATGATTGAAGGTAGACAAACTCAGGGACTACTTCTATCAATTTTTATTGTATGTGATCAAACTGAAGAGTTATGCCGTCCATTTTGACTAAAACAGCCTTCAAAAATTTATATTAACAAAAAAACCATTCAAATTTGGAGATTAGACAAACCACTGAATAAAAAAGAAAAATCAATTCATGTTGTAGGCATAATTTACTAAACAATTATGGAGGCCATAGAGAGAGGGAGAGAGTGCGGCATAGAGAGAGAAGAAGAGATAGATATGTAATTGTGGATGTGTTCTATTCCATCCCATTGTGCCTTTATTTATAGGAGTATGGAAGGTTAATTCCTTACCCTTTAGGATTACAACATTTAATAGGTAATCTACTCCTAATAGGAATATAAGAGATGTTCCAAGATATACTAGTATTTACACAATCACATTCCTAATCTCCAAACGGGGAAGCAATTGATGATGGACGAGTTCGAGAAATGTGTCGGCTACTCGCCGGTGGTGAAAGAGGTTATGCGAAGACAGAGCATTTCCAGCGAAGGCAGTGGCGATGACAGGAAGGTTGGTGCAAGGGCGAATTTGTTTGTTTCGAAGAGCCTGAGCATGAGTAAGAGAATAGGGGTTGCTTTGTTGAAGAACATCATACGAGGCGTGGGGACCGTTGTAAGTGTGTTGATTGGGGAGAAAGAGAGGGAAAACACGACGCCGCTGCTGTCACCACCGTTGGAGCAAAAACTTGCCAAGAACTCGAGTTCTTCTTCATCGGCTTCATCGGAGTGGGTCAAAGTTAGGCAGATAGGGAAGCATTACAAGGAGTTATCGGCATTGCATTTGTGTCAAGAGATTCAATCTCACGAGGGGGCAAGCAAAAAAAGCCAATTTTTCAAAGCTGAGTTTTGTAGCTTTGTGTTTTTGGTTTTTTTTTTCATCCAAAACTGTGAAAAAAAAGCTGAAGTTGAATGTTTACCAAACACAAAAAAGCTTTAATACCTACGTTTTTCAGAAGCACCTCAATACCAAACCAGGGCTTAATTTAAAAGCACTAATTTCCACTAATCATTCACGAATAGATTAAGGTTCATTTTTATTTTAACAACAATTGATCAAGTTGATCATATCAAATTTTAACTCAGTTGCATAAGCACTAAGAATCTCTGAAATACACTTCCATTATTCTGTGACAGCAAAGCAATACAAGATACAATATGACATCATACAAACACTTAAACGACACAATCCAATGACATATTTTGATAATCCAGTAAGATATCGACTTCTATGTACAGCGAGTGTGATAACCGGATCATCTAGCGACTAAGTTCTAGAGTTCCCGGACAACCAAAACCATCTTCGATACTGCGTAAGCCGTAGAGCGCATACTCTTCCTCCATCTATGGACGAGACTCCATCCAAGAGGTTAGTGCATCACTCCCAATCTGCGTCGAAGAAACGGCATCTTTCATCTCTGAATAGTACATTCTCCAAATGTAAATCTTCCTCCTGTTTTCATCCAAACGTCAATTACCAATAGGAAACGAATACTAATAATAATACTATGGATAAGAAACACATAATTACAAATACCTGGAACAAGTTTTTTTCTTGGATCAAGTTTTTGGTACTTTACCTTATGTCTAATGGCTTTTGTTGCTGTTTGTTTGCGTTAACTAATATTTTTGAATCCCTGGTAGTATTTTTATATTCTTTTGAAAAGAGATAATGTTATTTCATCCTGTGTTTTTTTCTCAAATAAATTCATGCTTTGTTAATTGTTAGCTTTTCTTTGCTCACTAAAATAAGCCACCTTAATTAATTAAGGTCTCTTGCTGCTGTTTTTGTCATAATATTACCATCTTTATTTCCTCTTTTTTTTTTTTTTCATTACACTTTGACTTCATGTTACTTTTTACAATTGGTCCTTACTTGACTGAGCCATAGTAAATTGTCCATAATTCACCTATGTACACTCTCGATTTTGATGATTACTCAAATGAAATTTGTGATTAATTTTATTGAATTGTTTTTATTTAATTTAATCTGTAATTTTTTAAAATATGCAGGGAGTTGAAAGTCAAGAGGAGGAGGTAAGCACATATTAAGTTTTTGTATCTCAATTTGATCGTTTGATTTCAAATGCTGATTGTCTTTCTCTTTTCCTTTTCCTTTTGTTTATAAAGAATCAAACTATTTCAGTTGCTAACAGTGTGGATCAAGTTGTGGTAAAAAGGTCCTCCGCTTATATGATGATTTAATATATGAACAATTTAGATCTTCTGTTATTGACATTTCAATTGAATTTTACTTTCATATAAATTGCTTCACATAATGTAAAAACTATTTTAATG